CTTTTTCTGCATCTATTGACATGAGCATATAGTTTTTGTTTTTAATTCTGTTTATGTGATGAATTACACTTATTGACTTAGTATGTTGTACTATCTTTGCATCCCAAGTATTAAAACCACTTGATCATGGTGACTTACTCTTTTTACATGCTGTTGGATTCAGTTTGCTAGTATTTTGTTGAGGATTTTTGCATCTATGTTCATCAGAGATATTGGTCTGTAACTTCCAATCATCCTTTTCTGGCTTTGGTATCAAGATGATACTGGCTTAAGAGAATGAGTTGGGGAGGATTCCCTTCTTCTCTATCTTTTGAAACAGTTTCAGTAGCATTGGCAACAGTTCTTTGTAAATCTGGTAAAATTCAGCTGTGGATCCATCTGGTTATGAGCTTATTTTTGTTGGGATTTTTTTTCATTATTTATTATTCATTCAACTTGCTACTCATGATTCATCTATTCAAGAGTTCTATTTCTTCTTAGTTCAATGCCATGAGGCTATATGTTTCTAGGATTTCATCTGTTTCCTCTAGGTTTTCTAGTTTGTGAGCCTTTAGTTTTTCATAATAGTCTCTGATGATCATTTGCATTTCTGTAGTATCAGTTGTAATGTCTCCTTTGTCATTCATGATGTTTATTTGGTTTCTTCTGCTAACTCTGAGATTGCTTTATTCTTGGTTTTCTAGTTCCTTGAGGTGCAACATTAAGTTGTTATTTTATGCTCTTTCTACTTTTATAATGTAAGCATTTAATTCTAGAAACTTCCCTCCTAACACTGCTTTTTCTATATCCCACAGGTTTGGTGGTGTTGTGTTTCATTTTTATTGATTTCAAAAAAATATATTTTAATTTCTCTATTTCTTCATTGACCCAGTGATCATTCAGGGACATGTCATTTAACTTCCATGTGTTTATATAGTGTCTGACGTTCCTCTTTGATTGATTTCTAGCTTTATTCCACTGTGTTCTGAAAAGATATGATATAGGTTTGATATAGGTTGATATGATATAGGTTTTCTTAAAATTTGTTAAGACTTTTGTGGCCTAAAGTGTGATCTATATTGGAGAATGTTTCATGTACTTATGAAAAGAATGTGTATTCTTTAGTTGTTGAATGAAATGTTCTATAAATGTCTATTAAGTCCATTTGTTCTAAAGTCCAATTTAAGGTTGATGTGTCTTTGTTGATTTTCTGTCTTGATGATCTGTCTAGCACTATGGGTGTGGTATTGAAGCCCCTACTCTTATTGTGTTGCTGTCTGTCTCTTTTCTCAGGTCTAGTAATATTTGTTTTGTGAGTCAGGTTGGTCCAATATTGGTGCATATACATTTTGGATCATTACATCCTCTTGCTGAATTGAATTGATCAATTCAATTGATCCCTTTACCATAATATAATGACCTTCTTAATCTTTTGACACTATTTTTTATGTAATGTCTGTATTATATGATATAAGTACAGCTCACTGTTAGTTTCCATTTGCATGGAATATCTTTTTCATCTCCTTTACTTTCAGTCTATACGTGTCTTTATGTGTATGGTGAGTTTCTTGCAAGCAGCATGTAGTTAGGTTTTGTAAAATCTGTTTTGTGGATCTGTATATTTTAAGTGGAGCATTTATATTCAGTGTTAATATTGATATGTAAGACTTTGTTCTTGTCATATTGTTAGTTCATTTCTAGTTGTTTTATAAATTCTTTCTTTTTATCTGTTCTTTTGTCCTTGTGGTTTTCTGATCTTCTATCATGTTGCCATTTAACTCCTTTGTCTTCATCCTTTGTGTCATCATTTTGTATGACCTGTGAGTTTTACATTTTTGTGTGCTTTTGTGATGATGAATATTGATCTTTTTTCCCCTGTTTAAAACTCCTTTGGGTGTTTCCTGTAGGGCTGGTCTAGTGGTGATAAATTCTTTCAGTGCTTCCTTATCTGGGAAAGACTTTATTTCTCCTTCATTTATGAAGCTTATTCTGGCAAGGTATAAAATTGTTGGTTGGCAGGTTTTTTTTTTCTTTCAGCACTTTGGAAATGCCATCCCATTTTCTTCTTTCCTTCTAAGAGGTCTGATGTTAATATGATAGGGTGTTCTTTATAGGTGACTAGACATTATTCTCATGTTATTTTAAACTTCTTTCTTTTACTTCAACTTTAGTTATTCTGACTATAATATGCCATGGTGAAGTCCTCTTTGCATTGTGTTTGCCTGGGGATCATCGGGCCTCCTGTTTCTGAATGTCTAACTGTCTCAGTAGAACTAAAATTTTTTTGACAATTATTTCCTTAAGTACGTTTTCTAAACTTTTATCTGTCTTCCTTCATGAAAATATCAATAACTTGTAAGTTGTCACTTTATGTAGTCCCAGATATCTCAGAAGATTTGCTCATTCTTTTTTCCTTATTTTTTTAATCTGACTGGATTATTTTCAAAGTCCTATCTTCAAGTCCTGAGATTCTTTCTTCTGCTTGATCCAGTCTATTCTTAAAGTTTTTAATGTGTTTTGTATTTCCTTTAATGAATCTTTTAGCTCTGTAATTTCTGTTTGAGTTATCTCTCTTCTTGATAAATTTTTCATTCATATCCTGAATTGATTTTCTATTTTCTTGTATTAATTTTCAGATTTCTCTTCCATCTCATTGAGCCTCTTTAGAATCAATATTTTAAATTCTTTATGTGACATTTTAGATGTTCTCTTTGATTGGGATGTGTTGCTGAACAATTGCTGTGTTCTCTTGATGGTGTCATATTTCCTTGTTTTTTTGATGTTTTCTGTGTCATTCTGTTGATATCTGCAGTAGTAGTTGCTTGTTCTGATTTTTGCAATTGTTTAATAAGGTGAGAATTTTTCCTGAAGATATATATTTGTTGTTTGCTGCGTAGGAAACGTTGGCTTTGAATTTGGGTGCCTGCAGTAGTGTGATCTTTGTATGATTTCTTAGGCAGTACACAGAGTCAGTGGTATCTACGCTTGCTTTGTTGGTGTATGGGACAGTTTTTAGTTGAGTCTGTAGTGAAGACTTTCTGGGACTTGAACAGCAGCAATGCCAGTCTTTGGGTTCCAATGGTGGAAGCAGTGGTCTGAGTATGCCTGATTTTAGGCCCCAGAGCAGCTTACCCTGACAGCAGTGTTAGTGTGTCCTGGGTGGCCAGTTCTTGGGCTTTCAGGTAGCTTGCTCAGAAGCTGGAATTTGGATCAGAGTCTTGGGTTTGGTGACTTCTCAGGTCCCTATACAGCTTGTGTGATGTGGGGAGTGACAGTAGTGGTGGTTGAACCACCCACTAAGACCCAAGTGGTCCATATTGGTGCTACTGGTAACTGCAATAGATTGGTCAAGCTAGTCCCCAGTTCCACAGCTGCCTGTAAAAGGACAGTGGGTACTGTCCTAAGTGTGCTTATAAGCATTTTGTCTCCCCTGTCCCTTCCTGGCCAGGTGGTAGCTGCAGTCATGTAACCTTGAACTCAGCCTGAAAGTGGGGTATAGCACAGTGTTGAAATATCAAAATGGCACTAGCTGTGGGCCATTTTAAAATTTAAAAGTTTTTAAAAATATCTTTTGGGAAACATAATTCCTAAAATAAGTTCTGTCATTCACAAAAGGTCTTTCCTCCATGGTTGGGCTCTGAGTTCCATCATAAAACATTTGGGTGAAAGAGGCGAGGTCAAACCCTACTTTTAGCAAGTTCTACTTGATCTTGAAGCAGCCATTAAGCAGTGCGCTACAGACCTCAGAAGGATGGCTTTTCCCAAACAACAATTCCTGTTAAACCAAGGGTGCAGTGATGGAAGCAGAGGGAGATGGTTAAATAAGTTATTCTTCATGCTCACGATTGAGTAACATATATCTTTAGGTCCTTTTGTGGATGAATATTTAAAGATGTTAAGATATGACTTAGTATGTTATAAAATAACATATATTGCATCATCCAAATTGTATCTATTCTACATAAAAGGGAGATATGCTTAAAATATTAAAAGAGGCTTTCTCTGAGTGGTGGGATTATGAATGATGTTTTTGTTCATTTTCTTTTTTTGCATTTTACAAATTTCTTACTATACACAAGGGGGGGAAATTGTCAGGTTTCTCCACCAGCCTGACTTGGGGCCTGACTCTTTTCCTCTTAGGGACACTCCTCTGTGGACATTGTGACCAATGCAAAGTGCTGAGCTCCAGAGCTGGGTGGCCCATGTGTTATTCCTGGAGGAGCAGAGATTGGTGACTCCAGTGAGCCAGTCAGTAGGGAAACCGGAATCTCCTTGGGGCCTGGACAAGTGGATTTGGTGGGGAGAGAGGAGGGAGGAGGAGAGAGGACAGGAGAGAAGCAAGGTCACACGCTTCCATGGCCTCTTCTCATCTCCACCACCTCAGCACCTTAACGCTCGCTGGGCCAAGCAGGAAGCAGGTGTGTGGAGGGACAGTGAAATACGAGGTGCTGAGTGTTGTGGACCCTTGAGAAACGAGAGTCAGAGTCTTCTGTCTCTGCATAGTTTTGTTTTTCAATAACCTCACTTTCAGGCAAGCAACTGGGATTGCTTCACTCTTCTCAGAATGGGTGAGAAAAACACTGGAAGTGGCCAAAATTAGGCTGAATAGAAGACACCTATCAAGTTGTAGATATTCTCCAATTGAGTGAGCACTAGTCTGTTATCAATGAAATATAGTAGTGTGAACTGGATGTGCACAGATTTTCATGTGTGTGAATGCATCCGGTGGCAAAAGGAGCCAGTGTCCTTATAATGATAGTTCTGATAAATGGACTGACCCGGGGATTTAACATTCATTCGTTCAGTATTCATTCATTAATTTCATTCACTTATTCAATATCTGGCTCAAATCCCAATTCCACCTCAACCAGCTAAGCAGCCCTAAGCAAGTCACTGAGCTTTCCTGAAACTGTTTCCCTACTGTGCTGACTATCAGGGGTTTCCTGCAGGGCCGGGGACCTTGACACCATGCAGGGGTGTATCTGGTAACATGAACTGTGCATGAATCCATGTCTTCTCAGATTCCGGAGCCCCCACCTACATGTATGAGTTTCGGTATCGTCCAAGCTTCTCATCAGTCATGAAACCCAAGACGGTGAGAGGGGACCATGGGGATGAGCTCTTCTCTGTCTTCGGAGCCCCATTTTTACAAGGTAAGGGCTCTTTGCTGGCTGTGAGCCTGGAGTTAGGAGATGTGGGCTCCAGTCCTGGTTTAGAGGCCTTGAGCAATTTCTCCTTCTGTCCTGGTCTTAGTTTCCCAATTCACTCAAACAGGGTTGAATGACATTGTGCAGTCCCCACCCTTCCTTCTGCTCTAACCTGCATGAAGGAGGATGTGCACTCATGTGTCCTCAGCCAGGGTCACTCTCAGAACCCAGGCCTGTGCCATCAGTAAGGCAGGTGGTGGGTCACCTGCAGGGCCCTGCTCCAGGGCCAGAATGTCACTACTCCGTTTCCCTCTCACAAGAGCATATCAGAATGTGAGTGAGTTTCAGGTTAGAATTGGTGTGTGTTTTTCTGTTTCTCTATTTCATAAAAACTTATGTCTTTAAATATATAATAAGATAACATTTTAAGGAAAAATTTTCACAAATACCTTCAACACCTTAACTCTCAGCAGTAACAGATGACTGTGACCCATGTCCTGGCTGTTCATTACACACCAGTGCCTCTGGGCATCTCCCAGTCTGGTGATTCCTTAGGATCTTTGTAGCTCTGTTATTTTTCAGACTATGAGAATGTGGCTGTGCGTAGGAGATTCAGAGAAGTCCCAAGAGGGGCAACCCTGGGAGGTGGGGTTGCTGCAGAGGAAAGACTGGGGTACGGCATTGAGACCCTGAGTGGGGAGGAGGCAGGTGGGGGCCACAGAGGACAAAGGCAGCCAGTACATAGGTTGGCTGCAAGCCCATTGCTGAGTTCTAGATCAGTCATTCCCCATCTTACAGTGCACAGGGATTAACCAGGATCATCTTGAAATGCAGACTGTGACTCTGGGTGTGTAGAGTATTCACCAAGACTCTGTTTGTAACAAGCTCCCACGTGATGCTAACGCTGCTGAACCATGAATTAAGTTTGAGTAGCAAAAGTTTTTTTCTTGTTCCCACAGAGGGTGCTTCAGACAAGGAGACCAAACTTAGCAAGATGGTGATGAAATTCTGGGCCAATTTTGCTCGGAATGGGTGAGGCTGGTGGCAAAGGTGGGGCAGGGTCGGTGGGGGTAGGTGGCTCTATGGGGAAGGACAGCTTCTACAGTTGGAGTGATTAAACTCCCCACCCTGTGAGCACAGTGCTCTGACAATGAGAGTTCTCTGAAAATGGATGGACTGCCCCAGGATGGTGAGCTCCCCGTCTCTGGAAGTGTAGGAACCTCTTGGAAAACATAAGCCAGGAGATCCCTGCAAATCTCAGAGGATTGGTGGGACCACATGGCAGCTTTAAGGAATTTCTATTTGATTCTGTCCCCAGGAACCCCAATGGGGAGGGACTGCCCCATTGGCCAGCGTACACCAAGAAGGAAGGGTACCTGCAGATTGATGTCCCCACCCAGGCAGCCCAGAAGCTGAAGGACAAGGAAGTGGATTTCTGGACCAAGCTCCTGGGCACGAAGGCAGGAGAGAAGGCACCACAGACAGAACACATGGAGCTCTGAACGGGAGGCCCCGCCAGCCTCCAGAGCCTAGAGGAGGCAAGACAGGGCTATTCTACAGAAGGTGATTGTGGGTCAGAGAGATGTCTCATTGTGGGCGCTGGAGAATTTCTGCTGGGGGTCCACACAGGCCAGGGAGGAGCAATTTTTGCACTTGTGACCTCAATTGTGGGAATAAATGTTTTTTGGAGGCCAAATCAGTGTTTGTGTCTCTGGCTAGAGATTCGTGCTTCCTCCTCAGAGAGAGAGGATGCAGAGGGAGGCACCAGAAGACGGAAGATGCCCCTGCTGGGGATGGCTTGGCCTCTAGACAAGCATCACCCAGCAGGCTGGGCCCTGGGAGGTGCTAAGGGGACGCTGGACACAGCCCATGTCTCTGAGCCCTCAACAGCTTCCAGTCGTAGGATTTGGGATGGCCAGAGTGCAGCATCCCTGCCTCAAGTTGGAGTCACCTGTGGAGGTGGAGGTGGCACAGACTGAGCAGGCACCTGGATCAGTAGAGGAGGGGTGCCGTGGGGATCCTGTGGCAGTGTTGTGTGGCCTTCATTGACCCCCACACAGGTGTGCAGTACCTTCCTCAGTATACACAGTGGCCTCCCAGGCCCTCTGTGAGGCTGCCTCTTCCAACAACTGGCCTTAAGCCCTTTGTATCCTGGGCCACTTCAGACCCAGGCAATAATGACCTTTGGGTAAGTCTCAGAAATGTAATCATAAATCTGTCTCTTTCATAATCTCAGGGGTGTGTTTTGGATTCCTCTGGGCTGTAGAAAGTTCTAAGAGTGTCAGTCCTACCCTGACAGCAAGAAAAAGCTGTATTACTCTCATAATCATTACTTTTCCCACACAAAAGACCTGAAATTGCAGGACAAACAATTACCTGTAATCTGAGGGAAGACAGACACTTTGGAGGAGATGTGGGATGTGAACACTGATTTCCCTTCCACCTACAGGATGAAGACAAATTCACTATAATTGGTAGCATCTCTCAAAATTTTAATCAAATGCTAAAGGTCATGTGTGACCTAGTATGAGAGTGTAAAAATCCCTGGGAAGCATAGACACGAGGGGGGAGTTTACACCTATCACAGACTCTTCTCCATGGACCTGTATCAGGTGCACATGAGAATGACGGGGGGCAGGTTGTTAGACTGGAGAACAATCTGCCTCCAGGGACACAGGCATGAGCCCTGCTCAGACCACGCTTCCTGAAGGAACAAAATCCTTCAACCGTTAGGGGAAGACCAACAAACCTTGTCTCCTTCAAGGCACTGGTGAAGACCTATTGAGGCTAAAGAAAAGGAAATATTTGCCCACCCTTGGAAAAGGGACAGGAAACCATCCTGGGCCCAGATCATTAATCTTTTACTACCAGGGAGGGGCAAGATTACTGAGAAAGACTCATCTCCAAAACTGAAGAACATAGGGATTGCCTAATGTTGAGGCTAGACCAGGACAAGAGAAACCACTCCTGGCTGCCACCAGAGTTAGGAAGAACCCAGAAACAGAAATCTACTCCAGCACAAAGGAGAAAACATGGAGAGAGATCCTCTCTGACAAGGAAGTGAACAGGGCAAGCCAACAGCTGGAGGTGGAATAAGACATTAAGACAACCTTTCATCCAATGAAGGGCTGATAACTGGAATCCATGAAGAACTCAGGAAAATCAGCAAGACAGAATCAACAACCTCATTAAAAAGTGGGCAAAGTACATGAACAGAAACTTCTCAACAGAAGACAGACTAATGGCCAACAAACACATGAAAAAATGGTCAACATCCCTAATCATCAGGGAAAGGCAAATCAAAACCACAATGAGACATCACTTATCTCCAATGAGAATGGCCTTTATCAAAAAGTCTCCAAACAATAAATGTTGGTTGGCATGTCTGCAAAGAGATAGTAACACTCATCTCATATACTGCCGGTGGGACTGCAAACTAGTACAACCTCTGTGCAAAGCAATATGGAGATGCCTCAAAGAGCTACAAGTAGAACTACCATTGGATCCAGCAATCCCATTACTAGGCATCTACCCAAAAGAACAAAAGACATTCTATAAAAAAGACATCTGCACTAGAATGATTATAGCAGTATAATTCACAATTGCAAAATGTAGAAACATCCCAGGTGCCCATCAATAAGTGAGTGGATTAATAAAATGTGGTATATGTATACCATGGAATTCTACTCAGCCACAAAAACAATGGTGATCTAGGACCTCTTGCATTATCCTGGATACAGCTGGAGCCCATTCTACTAAGTGAATTATCACAAGAATGGAAAAACAAGCACCACATGTAGTCACCATCAAATCGGTATTAATTGGTCGACATTTATGAACACATATAGTAGTACCATTCATTGGGTATCAGGCAGGTAGGAGGGGGGACCAGCCCTGGCCATGGGGAATCCTCCTCACCAGCAATAGAAACCTGAGTTCTGGCTGGCTCTACCACTGGCTGATGAAAGTGGCCTGAGGCCTGGAGTAAATTCGTAAGGCAGTCAGGCCATAAAAACTGCAGTCCTAGGGCAATTTCTACAGCTGTGCTGAGCCTGAAGCCAGGGGTTTGGGGTGCATGTGGCTGAGTGAGAGGCTGGTGTGGCAGTCAAGTGAGTGACTGTGTCACTGCTCCTCCAAATCCAGGCAATGCAGCTCCCCACCATTTAATGCTATCCCCAACAAAATACCAATGACATTCTTGCAGCAATAGAAAAAAAATCCTAAAATTTATACAGAACCACAAAAGGCCCAAAATAGGCAAAGGTAGCCTGAGCAAAAAGAACAAAACTGGAGGAATCACGTTACGTGACTTCAAATTATACTGCAGAGTAAGTAACCAAAATTATACTACAGAGTAACCAAAACAGCATGGTATTGGCATAAAACACATAGACCAATGGAACAGAACAGAGAACTCAGAAACAAAACCCACATATCTATAGTGAATCCATTTTGGAAAAAGCTGCCAGGAATATAGTGCGGGGAAATGACATTTTCTTCAATAAATGGTGTTGGTAAAACTGGATATCCATATCCAGAAGAATGAAACTAGATCTTCTCTCTGATAACATATAAAAATGAAATCAGGCCGGGCGCGGTGGCTCACGCTTGTAATCCTAGCACTCTGGGAGGCCGAGGCAGGCGGATTGCTCAAGGTTGGGAGTTCAAAACCAGCCTGAGCGAGACCCTGTCTCTACTATAAAAATAGAAAGAAATTAATTGGCCAACTAATATATATATATAAAATTAGCCAGGCATGGTGGCGCATGCCTGTAGTCCCAGCTACTTGGGAGGCTGAGGCAGGAGGATTGCTTGAGCCCAGGAGTTTGAGGTTGCTGTGAGCTAGGCTGATGCCACGGCACTCACTCTAGCCTGGGCAACAAAGCGAGACTCTGTCTCAAAAAAAAAAAAAAATGAAATCAAAATGGACTAAAAACTTAAATATAAGACCTGAAGCTATGAAACTACTAAAAGAAAACATTGAGGAAACACATTGGTCTGGGAAATGATTTCTAAGTACAGGCTACAGGAGCAAAATTGGATGAAAGGGATCACATCAAGCTAAAAAGCTTCTGCACAGCAAAGGAAACAATCAACAAAGTAAAGAGAAAACCCACAGAATATAAGAAAATATTTACAAACCACCCATATGACAAGGGCTTAATAACTGGAATTCATAAGGGGCTGAAACAACTCAATAGGAAAAATTCAAATAATACAATTAAAATGGGCAAAAGATCTGAACAGACACTTCCCAAAAGGAAACATACAAATAGCCTATAAGTGTAGGAAAAATACTCAACATCATTAGTCATCAGGAAAATGCAAATCAAAACTATAATAAGATATCATCTCATCTCAGTTAAAATGATGTTTATCAAAAAGACTGGCAACAACGAATGCGGATGAGTATATGGAAAGAGAGAGAACCCACCTACACTGTTGGTGAGAATGTAAATTAGTGCAACCATTATGGAGAGCAGTAGGGAGGTTCCTCAAAAAACTAAACTATAACTATCATATGATCAAGCAATCCCATTGCTAGATATATATCTAAAAGAAAGGAAATCAGTCTATCAAAGAGGTATCTGCACTCCCATGTTTATTGCAGCACTATGCACAATAGCTAAGATTTGGAATCAACTTAAGTGTCCATCAATGAATGAATGGATAAAGAAATTGTGGTACATAAACACAATGGAATATTATTCAGACATAAGAAAATGAGATCCTGTCATTTGCAACAACATGGATGGAAGTAAAGAACATTATGTTAAGTAAAATAAGCCATGCAAAGAAAGACAAATCTCACATGTTCTCAGTCATATGTGGGGGCTGAATATTAAAACAATTGATCTCATGGAGACAGAGTAGAATGAGGGTTCCCAGAGGATGGGAAGTACAGTGGGAAGGGAGCAATAAAGTGAGGACAGTTAATGGGTGCAAAAATATAGTTAGATGGAATAGACAATATCTGATAGTACAATGAAGTGACTTTGGTCAACAATAAGTTATGGTATACTTTAAAATAATTGAAAGTGGATTAGAATGTTCCTAACACAAAGAAATGATAAATGTTTGAAATGATGGGTACCCCAATTACTCCAACTTGATTATTACATATTGAATGCCTCTATCAAAACGTCACATGTATTATAAATGTATGTAACTATTATGTACTACAATAATTAAAAATAAAAAATGATCTGAGCCTGGTCCAGTTCAGCAGAACTTCCCAGGTGGCCCACAGATCCATGAGTTGAGTATGTGGTAGTTGTTTTATGTTTTGTGGTGCTTTGCTGCACAGCAACCATCTGATACACCATCCAACTCCCAAGTATGATTACTTCAGTGGATCCTACTGTCTACTAGAAAAAGTTTCATCTTATCTCAGCACAGGGTCTCCCTCCTACTCTGGACTTGACTTTCTGCTGCAGCCCCTCCATTTGGACCCTGCAACTTTCTGCAGATCCCTGTGCTGTCTGCTACTGCTTCATGCCTCTGTGCTGTCACTGTAGCTATTCTCATGTTCTGGAATTTCCCTCAAGACTCAACTCTAGAGTCACCTGTTATGGGGGGGTCCTCCCTGATCTCCCCAGAGGGGGTTGTGTGCATGATTTCTCTGCCAGGTTGTGAGATGTCCTTGTTTCATTCATCTCTACAAACCAACCATCCACTTAAGGTCTATGTGCACCAGATACCCATCTAGGCATTGGGCATATAAATATAAGTAAGTGGTTGCTGCCTCCTGTCCCCAAAGTTGCTGGTCCCTGAAAGATCCTTTCAATAAATGTGGTAAGTGCAGAGACGGTTGAGTGAGGAAAGGTGTTTTCTAGGGGGTGATATCTTGAGAGACAGGCAGGAGTGAGCCAGTATCAGAGAGCCATGGAAAGGCCAGGGCTGAGGCCCAGGAAGACAGGGTGCACTTGGGTCACTTGCAGCTAGTCAGGGGTGATGGGAGCAGAGAGGTGGGTGAGAGGAGGAGAGGGAGGCTGAGGACTTGGATTTACTGGAAGGCAATGGGGAGTCACTAGAGGGCTTTAAACGTATGCAATAAGTGCTCCATGAATGCTTCCGTGCCAGCAACCATCTGTCTCCCCGTCAGAGTGAGAGTTCCTCTAGGGCAGGGCTATTCGTTCTTTGTATTCCCTAGTTCAGTCCTGTACACAGCAGTGCTGGCTATGATTCTGATCAATGAGTAAATGAACGAATCCACCCATGATATAATGTTAATAATAGCAAAACCAAATGGATTTTTGCACACATACAAGAACCACTTTGCACTTCCCCAGTTCAAAAGAGTGTTGAGGGTTCAAGTAGGCTGTGAAAAGGGTTCAGGTAACAAACACCCCCCAGTCCTGTGTGCTTCCTGCAGCCTCTGCTTAGCAGCAGGAGTGTGTGTTGGTGCCACCTGGTGGCCACTGTGCGCATGTTCTAAAGAAGAAATCACCTTGGTCGGTTGCTGAGGTGCCCTGTCTGGCCAGGCAGGGGGACAGGGAACCCAGGCAGGGACCCTCCTAAAGTCCTTCTCGACGACCAAGGACACCTGTCCTTCCTCTGTCTGCTGACCACCCTCTCCCTCATGCATTGCCTGTTTGTTACATTCAAGAGAAGGAGAAAACCCCATTAATTAGAAAACCGTGTTACATATGTAGTCTTTCTGCTTTTTGAGAGTGAGCCCAGAGAGAACCTGTATCTGGCATAGGGAACCAGAGAGCATGAGATTGGGGGGATGTTTGGTAAAAGCCAGGATAGATATTTTCCCTGGGAGACAGGAGACCTCTGTTCAAGCTAACTCTCTCTTACAAGGTGACCTAGCACAAGTCATTCGCTTCATAGCACATTTTAGGCACTTAAATATATACACGTTTACATATTTTTGTTAAAATATGTGTATATGTAGATATAAATCATATATGTGTGTAAATTACATATATGTGTACAATGTAAAAGAAAAGTAAAAAAAATATATTTCTTTTATATGTATTATATATTTGGGTTTTTTCCTGCATTTTTTTATTTGTATATTCACAGAGTACAAGAACAGTTTTGCTCCCTTGATATTCATACATTGCATGGTGGTGAAGTCAGGGCCCTCAGTCCATCCATCACTAAGAGCAATGCACGTTGTACCCACCAAGCGCTTCCCACCATCCTCCCTCCTATCCCCCCCCCAGTCTCC